GCACAACTGGACTAAACCAAAGCTAAGAAGTTTTCTGAACATGACCAAACACTTTGAGGGACAAAGCAGCAGGGGCAGGGGTCTGGGGACTATGCTTTCAGGGGACATCTAGGTCAACTGGCCTCACAAAGTTTATTAAGAAAATGTTCTGCATCCCACTTTGGTGAGTGGCGTCTGGGTCTTAAAAGTTAGCAGGTGGCCATCTAAAATGCATCAATTGGTCCCAACGTACCTGGAGTAAAGGAGAATGAAGAACACCAAAGTCACAAGGAAAGTATTAGCCCAAGAGACAGAAAGGGCCACATAAACCAGAGCCTGCATCAGCCTGAGACCAGAAGAACTAGATAGTGCCCGGCTACCACCAATGACCGCCCTGACAGGGAACACAACAGAGAGTCCCTGATAGAGCAGGACAAAAGTCGGTGCAGAATTCAAATTTTAGTAAAAAGCCCAGACTTAATGGTCTGAGACTGGAGGAACCCCAGAGAGCATCGCCCCCGGACTCTCTGTCAACCCAGAACTAAAACCATTCCTGAGGCCAACTCTTCAGACAAAGATCAGACTGGACTATGGGAAATAAAATGATACTCGTGAAGAGTGTGCTTCTTAGCTCAAGTAGATAAATGAGACTAAACGGGCAGCTCCTGTCCGGAGGTGAGATGAGAAGGCAGAGAGGGTCGGAAGCTCTTTGAATGGACACGGGAAATCAGGGGTGGAAAGGAGGAGTGTGCTGTCACAGTACAGGGAGAGCAATTAGGGTCACGTAACAATGTATGTATAAATTTTTGCACGAGAGACTAACTTGAATTGTAAACTTTCACTTAAAGTACAATAAAAAAAAAAAAGGATTATAGCCATTGAGGGGCCCTGGTGGCTCAGTGGTTAAGAACTTGGCCACTAACCAAAAGGTAAGCAGTTCTAATCCACCAGCAGCTCCTTGGAAACCCTATGGGGCAGTCCTACTCTCCATCTTATAGGGTTGCTATTTCTCGGAATAGACTCAACGGCAATAGGTTTTTACAGCCATGGAAAATCCTATGGAGGGTAGGGTTGCCATGAGTTGGAATCAACTGGACAGCAAAGAGTTTTTGTTTTTTTTCATGCAAAGAATAATGACATGAAGATCTTGCCATGACTGGATGCTACTCAGGGTATGTTAAGCTCACCAAACTATTTTCAGGCAATTTTAGCAAGTTTATCCACCTGGGGAAGTCATTTGACCTCTTCCTACCTTGTTTTTTTTTCCAGGTGCAATGTGGGGAAGTAACCCTTTACCTTCTTTCACATAGGGTGATTAAGGATTATTGCCATTGCAGGAGGCAGGAAAGAAGAAGGGCAGACATTGGCAAAGGCTAACTGACTGGGGCTTCTATGTATCCCCTCCCTGCTCCTGCAGATGCCCTGGAAAAAGCACCTGGGGCTACAGGTTCCACCTCAGGAAATTCCTTCCAGCTCCATCTTAAACCACTGCCTCTGGTCCAGCTAGCTGTCCAGCCGCATCCTGGACCTCTTACAAACTGCCTAGCCCACATAGCCTAAAGGCTTGCTTGGAATGGCTTTCTGACCCAAGTTTTTCCCCTGGATGCCAAGGGTTCCCCTGACTCAGTTTCTTTCCCCAGGCTGAAGGTGCAGTACCCCAGGCACCTGTGGCAGCTGACCAGCCCAGCCCTCAGGCCCCAGAACCAGTCACTGAGCCACACTGCTATAACCAAACCACAGCTTCTCATTAAGCCAGTTCTCAGAATCACAGTATGTACACATCCTCATCCCTGCAAATGGGATCTGGCCCAATCAGAAACAGGCCCCTGGTGTCTTTCAAAGGCCACAGAAATCCACACATGTGGAAAGGACCACCGCTGTTAGTTGCTGTGGAGTCAATTCCCGTTCATGGTGACCCCATGTGTGCAGAGTAGAACCACTCCAGGGAGTTTTCAAGGTTGTGACCTTTTGGAGGCAGATCACCAGGCTTGTCCTCCAAGGTGGCTCTGGGTAGATTCAAACCGCCAACGTTTTGGGTAATAGTCAAGTGCTTAACCACTTGTGCCACCCAATGACTCTGGAAGGAACACAGGTAGTCACTAACATCAGGCTTACTGGCTCCAACATGAGAGAAGAGAGAAAAAAAAAAAAATGCATCCTGCCTGTCTTAGTTGTCTAGGGCTGCTATAACAGAAAAAACTTGCATTATAACCACAGGCATAAAAAAGAAAAAAAAACCAAACCCATTGCCATCGAGTTGATTCCAACTCACAGAGACACTATAGGACACAGTAGAACTGCCCCATAGGGTTCCCAAGGGGCGGCTGGTGATTTGAACTGCCAACCTTTTGGTCAGCAGCTATAGCTCTTAACCACTGTGCCACGAGGGCTCCACAGAAGTTAAGATTTACAACACATATTTATGGGGGACATAATTCAATCCATAACACTGCCCAACTGAGCTTGGCTTCTGCCACCCTCTTCTTCTCAAAGCCGCGGGGCCCATGTGCTCAGGGTGGAAGCTCTTATAGGGACAGTACAGATCCATAAGCTATTGTTAATGATGCACCAAAAAATAGCAAGAAGGTAGACACAGATCCATGGGAACATTCCAATTCCCACCCTACCGATTCGTTTAGTTGTTCAAATAGAGGCTCTTACACCAATAAAGAGTTTCTGGTTTTTTTGTTTAACTGGCATTGAGATAAGAGCCCTGGTGGTGCAGTGGTTAAAGCACTCATCTGCTAACTAAAGGCCAGCGGTTTGAACCTACCAGCTGCTCCAAGGCAGAAAGATGTGGCAATCCACCTCCGTAAAGATTAAAAGCCTTGGAAACCCTAGAGGGCAGTTCTACTCTGTCCTACAGCGTCCCCATGAGTGGGAATCAACTGGAGGGCAGTGGATATGAGTTTTTGGCATTGAGATCACAAAGAAAGAAAGAATACTGTGTATCTTTTGAGCAAGACAGTGACATACCAGCCACTAGGTGAGCAGATATGGAATTGGCCATAATTGCCCCATCTCTGCTGACAGGCAGCCTCCGACTAGCTACAAAACACCAATTAAGGACCCCCAGCTACTTCCTGGAGCTGCTCACAGTGAATGTGGCCCCAAACTCTGAATTCCCACCATTGGCTTCCACCATGAGACCACAGCTACATAACACGCTTCCTCTGCCTCATGTATTAAAGACATTCTGGCCTTGAGTCACCAAAGTTGTCTTTGGACTCTCCAACAACACATATTACCCACGATCCAAGACTCTCCCCTCAACGGAAAGGAGGAGGGGAGGACTGCCATTTATTGAGCACTTACTCTGTGTTCGGGAAGCAGCAGCCCATGGCCTCGGTGACCAACACAGGTCAAGCCACTAGCTGCTCTGATCTGGCTCTAAAATGGGTGGTTCCTCTCATCACAAACATCTGTAGAGGCCATCTCACCCAAACAGGGCCAGTCTAAAAACTTGGTGCCTGAACCCATGCTGGTGTCCCAAACCCAGCAAAGATCATCCAAGCAGCAGCTAGAGGATCCTCCACTGAGGCTGTTATCAACCTCTGAAGCAACTGTAAAAAGAAATGAACTAAAACATCAATCGTAGAATCTAAGAGGTGGGTACCTGGGTGTTCACTACACAATTCTTTTAATGATTCTGTATGTTTGACTATTTTCCTAACAAAATAATGAAAAACAATCTAAAAATTAAAGGAAGTGCTTCACAAAGATGAACACTTTTAGCAGAAGCAGAAAAACCCTGTTTCCAAAAGCAAGGGGCTTTTCAGACCCTTTTAAACCGAAGGAGGCTGCCTCCCATCACTGCAACAATGAACTCTGGTTTCCAGACTGATAGCAACAACAGGCCCACAACTAGTACTTTTCAAACAGCGGCTGTTACAGAAAGGAATCTAATGGAGTGCACTCAACATGAGCCCACTTCAGAAGGTGGGAGCCACTGAAAGCAGAAAACCTCAGCGTGACAGCTCTTCCCCCTTACCCCCAGGCCTAACTCGCCACCCCAGCCACATTAGGCAGATGGCAGAGGAGTTAAGCTTGCTGCAGAGGCAACCACAAACCAGAGAGTGGCAGGCCGGGAGGCTACTGGGCAGATTAAGGCCTGATCCTCTGCCCCTAAAGGCCCCTGACCCATTTCTCGGTGAAGAGGAAACGGCTGTGGTAAGCGAGGGGCAGAGGCTGTGGCCAACACTAGCAGTTTCAACAAGTGCTCTATTTTTTTTTTTTTTTTTCCTGGAAGGGCAGTCAATGAAAATGATGAAGATCGACAAGGGGTATAAGAGGATACAGAGCGTTAACAGGGAGCCATGTGGTAACGAGTCAATCAAACGTGTTTTTCTTAGCCTCGGTTTCGAATAGTACGGACTCTTGCCCAAGTCCACTGCAGCTACACCAGAGACAATTCACAGGCCACCCAACAGATGTTTCAGTTAAGATCACCTGGGGGCTTTCTCGAGACCCTGCACTTGGTAAGAGGGGCAGAAGGAAAAGGGAATCAGTTTTGGCAGAGATGGCGCGGGACAAACAAGACGACCCTCCTAGGATAAAGGGAGGCACCAGGCACCAGCGGAGTCCCGCAAAGTGAAGGTCTGGACAGTCCCGGCCCAGCTGAGCCAAAACCTACGTTTACGAGGTCAGCAGCTGCTTGGACAATGTAAACAGGAACTCAGGGGGCTGCCCTCCTGTCCTAAAGGATCTCGGGCTTGTTCTGAGACCACACATGGTGGGCTCGTTTGTGGCTTCTCGGCCGTCGGGGTCGTGGAACTAGTGTTTGGAGTCTGTTTTTCTAACTGACAACCAGAGACAGCCTGGGGTCCCCGACCAGTCCCAGGGCGCGGAGCTTCATTGGCCCGAGGTGCTTCCCAGGCCGGCTGGGGAGGGGCGGGGGCCCAGGATGGGCAAAGGCGGCAAGGGCAACAGGTGACAGCCGCGCCCGGCGGGAGGCTCCCCGATCCGGCGCCGAGCTCAGCCCTGGCGCCCCCAGAGCCCGGCCGGCCCCCTGCGGCACTTACGCGCTCGTGGGTCCACGGCCGGGCAGAACCGAAACTTTCTGTGGCCCAGCGGAACACAACCGGAGCGCAGCACGAGCGGCCATGATGCGCACACTGGGGCGCGGGTGGGCGTGGACTACCACTCCCGGCATGCTCAGCAGGGCCGAAGCCTACAACTCCCATCGGACCCCACGGGCAGGCGGCCTCGGACTACGACTCCCGGCATGCTCCATAAAGCCTAGGTTTACGACGCCCGCCCCCTTCAGGGCGCCGGCGCTTGGTTAACCCTTGCAATCGCGGGGGACGTATGTGCCCACAAATCGTCATCCGGGGTCTTCAGAGCAGCGCTGCACATGTGTGTCTATTAAGCCCTCGAAATTTGGCTACTTCGAGTTGAGTTGTGCATGTGCTGTGCGTGTAAAATCGCCCTAGATTTCAGAGTATGAATAAAGAATGTAAAATATTTCGTTAATTGTTTTACATTGATTACATGTTGAAATGATAATATTTTTGATATATTGGGCTAAAAATATGATTATATGTTGCCGGGCCTAACGTGTCATCTTTTGAATCCCCCTCATTTCTTAACACAGGGCCCTACGTAAAATCAGTGCTCAAAAAAAAAAAAAAAAGTGTAATGACCGAACTACTTCTGCCTGGTCTCAGCCTAATTTCTGTTTATAAATTGTGCATTGGAAGCACTCTGAAGCTGGACTCAACAGAATAAAATATATTCAATTAATGATGTCTACCAGGGAGAAAATATAGAAGAGCCACAGTGCATGGAGTAGTACACTTCAGCCTGTGACCAGACGTCATTCCTCAGCTTTGTCCCTGCCATCCCCTTCCACTCTGCCCTAATTCTCACCATTTAAGCTGGAAACACCTCTCTGCCTCACAGGACTTGGCTAGTGGTTTACAGTCAGGAGCCATGGTCCCAACGTTACAGGTAGAGATGGAGGGGACTGGGCTGAGGAGAGGAAATAGATTTCTTAGTTAATTTTAGACTCTGGCGTCTCATTAAAAACCCGAAACCAAACCCCTTGCCGTCAACTTCATTTTGACTCATAGCGACCCTATAGGACAGAGTAGAACTGCCCCATAGGGTTTCCAAGGAGCGGCTGGTGGATTCCAACTGCAGACCTTTTGGTTAGCAGCAGAGCTCTTAACGACTGTGCCCCCCGGGCTCCTCTGGGATCTCATCGGTCATCTTTTATAAACTAGACATAGATAAGACAATGAGTCAGATGATGAAGTGATTAGTTTGGGTGGAGTTGGCCGGTAAAGGGAGGTGCTTTCCGTTCTCCCTGTTACCATAAAGGAAACCTGTGGAAGAAACAAAGAGGAGGAGAAGGGGAAGGAGATGGAAAAGATTGGGGGGGTTAGGGGGGCGGCAAAGACAAAAGTCATTAATCTAGTGGCCTAAGAAAAATCATTGATCCAACCACAGTCTGAACAATTTTATATTAGGGATTAGGAATGGGGGAGATTTTAATGTCAATTCAACACACTTGTTTGAAATTTAGACCGAAAAGAAGTTTCGTGAAAAGGAAGAGACAAACGTACTATTTACTGAGGACCTACAGTATGCCAAGGTCTCTGGATGGTGCAAATGGTTAAGCATTTAACTGTTAACCTAAAGGTTGGTGGTTTGAACCCACCCAGCTGCACTGTGGAAGCAAGTCATGGCCATCTGTTTCCATGAAGATTACAGCCAAGAAAAGCCTATGGAGCAGTTCTACTCTGTAACACATGGAGTCGCCTTGAGTTGGAATCAGTTGGAATTGACTGGACAGCAATAGTTTTTTTTTTCGGTTTTGACAATATGCCAAACCCTAACAACAAAAAAAAAGAAAACCCATACATTATTATATTTAAAACACCCAGCACCTCTATGATGTGGGTAGCATTAATTATTCCCATTTTATAGATGAGGAGGCTGAGGCTGAGAGAATTGTCCAAGTTCACCCAGTCAGTAAACTGTGGAGGCTAAGGTAGGGCTGGGGGCTCCTTTGAAGTCCTCTGTCCACCCACCACACCGCCTCTTAGACACAGGGTAGTAGGTTAAAAAAAAAATCACTAATATTCTGTCACTTTAACTTGGATTTCCTTTGTAGACAAAGCTGACTGTCTCAAATTATAATCTTTTAAACAAACTCAGCATATTCTGTGTTCTGATGTGAGTACAGATTAGGTAAAGAGACCAGATTCAAAATCGCCAAAAACCAGCATCTCTTCCTTCCAGCCTTTACAAACATCAGAAGAGACTACTCCTCGCCCAACACCTCCCTGAGGCAAGAGGCTCTTGGAAGAATTTCTCCCATTCTTTAAGCACTTTGTCTGTGCAGGGCCCCATTTCACACACGTTTTAGTTTCACCCTCTCATCAGCCTCATGACACATAATTACCCCCATTAAACAGAAGAGCAAACTGAGATTTCGCGAGGTTAAATAACTTCTGCAAGGTCAAAAACTATTAGTGGTGGAGACAGATTTTGAACCTCGGTCTATCTGACTACAGAGTTCAAGCCGTTAACTACTGTGCAGCTCCTTATAAGTGAGGCAGCCATGTTTTCTGCCAGGAAGCCCCCATCTGGTCCCTGCTAATCAGACCTGGGGTGAATATCAGATGTGCAGGTGGTATGGCAGCTTGCTTGCCACATGATTGAGTGCATAGTTGTGAATAAACCAAATACAGCTTTTCCATTGCCAAACAGAATTTGATTTTTTTTTTTTTAGTCTATAGCAGAGAGTTAGCACTAAAAGACCCATTTATGTGGTTTTTCCAAAATAAAAGAATATTTTGCACAAAGGTGAATTTGAGCCCTCATCCCTTACGAGATAAATGAACTGCTCATGACTGTGAAATGATAAATCTCCAACTACAACTCCTTCCTAGGCTTCTGCTAGGGGCTCAGTTTTAAACATTAAAAGGTTCCCAACATGCTTGGCTGCTAACCAAAAGGTTGGCAGTTCGAGTCCACCCAGAGGTGCCTTAGAAGAAATACTTGGCAATCTACTTCTGAAAAATCAGCCATCGTAAACCCTCCGGAGAACAGTTCTACTCTGACACACATGGGGTCACCACGAGTCAGAGTTGACTCAATGGCAACTAGTTTTTGTAAAAGACCTGTGGTATAAAAGGCCTGTGATATTATCTTTTTTGTTTTTGTTTAACCCTGTATTTTTAAAACTTATTTGGCCCACAGAGCCCTATGTTTTTCATGAAACATCCATTAATACCCAGGGAAATGTCTTTTGGAAAGCGTGGCCATATAATTTATTGCCAAATCAAAACACCGTTGAGAGGGAAGGGAGACATGATTGATATCCACACTGGGACAACAGGGCTCTCCTGGGTGAACAGGAAGCATGGTTACCCTACAGTTTGCCACTAATTAACTGGCCCAGCTCCTAGCCAACGTAGCAGCTTCAAGACCACTGTGCTCCCACTCAGCTCTGCTTCTCTGCCAGCCTAGGTCTTAGCCAGTACCTCTCAGGTACAGCTTTTTCAGCTAACCAGCCCAGCTCTTAGCTGGCAGCGCTCTCAGCTGCAGCATTTTTTTTTTTTTTTTTTAGGCCTGGGCGTGGCCTCCATGTCCCAAAAAATCTAATCAAACTCTCTTGTATTACAGATGAAGAAATTATGGCCTAGACATGTTAATAAGTTTATAAAAGAAGGCACAGTGTGGTGATCTGCAGACTTAGGCTTGACTCCTGACTGTGTGACTTAAGGTAATTTTCTGACCCTCTGTGCTTCACCTTCTTCATCTACAAAAAGGAGGTAATAATAGTGATTTCAAATGGCTTTGTGAGCTAAGACAAGTCAAACACTATCAAAGTACCTGATAAAAATTTGTTGTTAGTTGCCGTTGAATCAGCCCCTGACGCATGGTGGCCTCAAGCACAATGAGGTCGAACCATTATGACCCATTGGGGTTTCACTGGCAGATTTTCAAAAGTAGATTGCTCGGCCTTTCTTTTTAGTCTGTCTTAGTCTGTCAGCTCTGCTAAAACATGTTCATCCTCATAGCAACATTCAAGTCTCCACTGACAGACAAGTGGTAGCTGTGATGAGGGTCATAGTCCAGGAGTCAAACATAGGTCCCCTACGTGGAAGTCGAGTTGTTCTTGTGAGGTGCCATTGAGTCAATTCCAACTTACAGTTACCCCATGTACAACAGAACAAAACACTGCCCAGTCTTGTGTCATCCTCACAATCATTGCTATGCTTCCGCCCATCGTTGTGGCCACTGTGTCAATCCATCTTGTTGAGGGTCTTCCTCTTTCGCTGACCCTCTACTTTACCAAGCATCATGTCTTACACCAGCGACTGGTCACTCCTGATATGTCCAAAGTACATGAGGCAAAGTCTTGCTATCCTTGCTTCTAAGGAGTATTCTGGCTGTACTTCATCCAAGAAAGATTTGTTCATTCTTCTGGAAGTCCATGGTATATTCAACATTTTTTGCCAACATCATAATTCAAAGGCAGCAATTCTTCTTCAGTCTTCCTTACTCATTGTCCAGCTTTTTGCATGTATATGAGGTGATTGAAAATACCATGGCTTGGGTCAGGTGCACCTTAGTCCTCAAAGTGACATCTTTGCTTTTTAATACTTTAAAGAGGTCTTTTGCAGTGGACTTACCCAATGCAGTATGTCATTTGATTTCTTGACTGCTGCTTCCATGGGTGTTGGTTGTGGATCCAAGTAAAATGAAATCCTTGACAGCTTCCCAATAT